CGCTGCCGCCCCGGCACGACAGCCCCCCAGGCAGCGCTGCCCTCCTGGCTGCCCACGGCACTGCCTACCAGGAGACCTCGCCAGGCGGCGACCCCCCCGACCACTTCCGTGGCAGCCCGCCCAGCGCCGAGCCCCCCGGGCGAGCTGAGGGCCGTGAGCTGCTCTACCGCTGGATGAAGCACGAGCCTCTGAGCAGCTACCTGGATGAGTGCGAGGCCGACAAGGAGGCCGAGCGGGAGGACAAGGGTGAGGGCTCACCGGCACCTGCCCCGACCCGCTATGCCAGTGTGGAGAGCCACGACTTGGAGCCTGATCCCAGCACCAGCGAGGAGACGGGCAGCAGTGAAGGCCCCTCTCCCACCGACCCGCTGGACCGCTACTGTGGCCACCTGGCCTATGAACCCGAGAGCCTGGGCGACAACCTGTATGTGTGCATCCCCTGTGGCAAGGGCTTCCCCAGCTCGGAGCAGCTCAATGCCCACGTGGAGGCCCACACTGAGGAGGAGCTGTACCACAAGGCGGGTGCCGAGCCGCCCGGGCCCTTCCTGGACAAGAGCAGCCCTGGCCTGGGCGACATCTTGCGGCCCTACCGCTGCGCCTCCTGCGATAAGGCCTACAAGGACCCGGCCACGCTGCGGCAGCACGAGAAGACCCACTGGCTGACGCGCCCCTACCCCTGCACCATCTGTGGCAAGAAATTCACGCAGCGCGGCACCATGACACGCCACATGCGCAGCCACCTGGGCCTCAAGCCCTTTGCCTGCGATGCCTGCGGCATGCGCTTCACCCGCCAGTACCGCCTCACGGAGCACATGCGCATCCACTCCGGCGAGAAACCCTACGAGTGCCAGGTGTGCGGCGGGAAGTTCGCGCAGCAACGCAACCTCATCAGCCACATGAAGATGCACACGGCCGGGCCCGACGGCAAGCCCAAGCTGGAGCTGCCCGACAGCCTCTATGCCATGGCCCGCCTGCCGCCCGACCAGCTGGGCCTTCAGCCGGACAAGGTGGCGGAGCTGCTCTCCCACACCCACTTCCTCAGCGACCCCAAGGCCATGGAGAGCCTCTATCCACTGGCCAAGTTTACGGCCGAGCACCTGGGGCTGAGCCAGGACAAGGCGGCTGAGGTGCTGGGCCAGGCCCCGCACCTTCACCTTGATGCTGCCCGGACCATAGATCGCTACTCGCCCACCTAGCGGCTGCCCGCACCCGTGCCCTGTGCCCGCCGGAGCCGCAGAGGCCACACTGGCTGGGCCTCTCCGCACCACTGCCCCTCGGTCCCCCCTCTGGGGCCTTTTGGGGGTGACAGCCATAGCGGGGGCTGTGATCGCCTGGCAGCTGGTTCCTAGGAGCCGGAGGGACCTACCGGATGGCACTGGACGTGCAGAGCAGCAGGTGGATGGTGGGAGCAGCCCCCACCAGTCTGACCCCTTCTCCATCGCGGTGGTTGCCCTGAGTGGGTGCTGGAACCGGTGACTGGGCAGAAGCCTGCCACCTACCTCGGGAGCCCAGCGCCCGTCTCCTGGAGCTCCTGCCCTGAGCCATGCCCCTGCTGAGAACGAGCCCTGCTGTGCCCACTGCATTCGTCCCCTCTGCCCTGCCCAGGGGAGACCCCCAAGCAGCCGGGCCCCTGGGCGGCGGCAGGCAGGGGTGCCCGGAGATCTGGGGATTCTGCTGCTGCAGCTACAGGTCCCCATTTCTCTGTGAGAATGACCTCCCCGGGTCACGGGAGGGAGGGCCCTGCCCACGGCAGCAGTTGTCTTGCTGCTGGATTTCCCCTCTGGGCATCAGGACTGGGACTCGCAGGGTCTGTGCTGGAAGCACCGCACCCCAGAGCCGGCAGACCCCAGGCCTGACCACCTCACCAACTTCTGTGCCAGCCGCTGAGCCTGTGCGCTCTGCCTGGGAGCCAGAGGACAGTGGGGTTAGCTATGTCCCCAGCCCTTCCCAGCACCCATGGCCCCTCCAGGCCACTCACCAAAGACCCTCTCTCTGTAGCCCTAGGGCTCACCTGCCCCCGGAAACCAAAGCACTCACCAGGGTGGGGGGAGGAGAGGCCCCATCGCTGCCTGCACTCAGGGACAACCCCTGGGCCCTGCTGACCCAGGCCGGGCCTGGCAGCCTCAGAGAAGCGCTGTGGGGGCAACGCCCAAGTCACCTGCCCCAGAGGGAGCTTTTCTGCAGCCCCTGACCCTGCATCCGAGGCAGGGCCCGTCCCCAGACTGAGCCCCTGGGAACCCCCAGCAGTTCTTCATGGTGGGGCACTTGGCCCACGGTGACTCGCTGCTGCTGGGGGCATGGGGGAGCTGGGCAAGGCAGGGAGCTCCTGCTTACAATCCCTTGCTGGGCTCCTTTCTTCCCCGTCCCCGGCTGCGCTGCCGAGAGAGCTGTGCCCAGCCATTGCTGCCGTGCACGAGCTGTCCGTGTCCTGAGCGGTGGCAGGGGAATCCGTGCTGCGGGCTATGGTCAGTCAGACAGGGCCAGGCTTGCCCAGGCACTACTGGAAGGGTCCGTCCCTGTGGAGGGCAGGAGCGGGGTGGCACAGGGCATCGGGCTCAGCCTTCTCCACTCACCCGTGGAGCTGCCCTGGCCCGGGGCTGTGACAAAGACAAAGCGATCTCGTTTGTCAGCTACTTCCATGCGGGAGGGACGAGCACTGGGCAGGAGAGGGCAGGCAGACGGTGCCTCTGCTCTCCGGCCGGCTTGGGTCGGCCACTCCAGGGGCAACGGCACGAGGGGGGCACGCAGCCAGCGCCCCCGTACAGCAGTGCAGCTGGCTGTCCCCAGGCTGAGCCGCGCTGGCTTCATGGCGGTAGCTCCCCTGTGCCCCGGGGAGAGTGGGG